ATAATGTCAAAGGGGGAAGTGCTCATGGCTCACGTTTCCACAAGACTTCCTCATGCTGTCCCAAGGGGAACAAATCATCCTCCTCGGGGGGGGGGCACTAAAGTGAGTATACCAACCTCCCCTTATCACTTGGGGGAAGAGGAGCAGTCTCTCACAGCTGCCTAAGCCCTGAAAACTCCCCTGGTAGGTGGATCAGGGGCCAGAGGAGTGCTGCCCCTTGAGCAAACTATCCCAGTTGGGGGCTGCAAGCCATCTTTACCCGCCAGAGCAGCAGACCTAGCGCGCTTGGCTGGCTGCGGTCCCCGGGCAGGAGGGTGTGGCTATTTTCCGAGCCTATGATAGCTTGCTGTCGTGCTGACATACTAAACCAAATCATACACAAGGATGGATTATCCCTCCCTGTCAGCGCACATTCAGCACCTTAACAGAGCACACAATAGTCATGGCCATTCTGCTCACACATGTCACGCTCTCACAGTAGAAATCACTGAATCAGTGAGTTCATGCACACCTGGGCATTTTTATATCTGTGCATAGGCCATGTTGTGGTGTGTCCTAAAGAAGTATCCACGTCAACTGCCCTAGTGGGTCAGGCCGAGAATAATATTTAACCCTGTGGAGAGATAATCTAGATACTATAGAGAACAGGGTACAGTCTGTGTTACTGATGTCACAGTTTGTGTTACTGGTGTTACAGTTTTTACTGATGTTAGCGTGTTACTGATGTCACAGTTTGTGTTACTGATGTTAGTTTGTAACTGATGTTACAGTTTGTTACTGATGTTACATTTTGTGTTACTGGTGTTACAGTTTGTTACTGATGTTACAGTTTGTGTTACTGATGTTACAGTTTGTTACTGATGTTACAGTTTTTGCTGGTATTACAGTTTGCTGGTATTACAGTTTGTTGCTGGTGTTACAGTTTCTTACTGATGTTAGTATGTTACTAGTGTTACAGTTTGTTACTGATGTTACAGTTTGTCACTGGTGTTACAGTTTGTTACTGATGTTAGTGTGTTACTGATATTACAGTTTGTTACTGGTGTTACAGTTTGTGACTGATGTTACAGTTTGTGACTGATGTTACAGTTTGTTACTGATATTACAGTTTGTGACTGATGTTACAGTTTGTTACTGATATTACAGTTTGTGACTGATGTTACAGCTTGTTACTGGTGTTACAGTTTGTTACTGATGTTACAGTTTGTTACTGATATTACAGTTTGTTACTGGTGTTACAGTTTGTTACTGGTGTTACAGTTTGTTACTGATGTTACAGTTTGTGACTGATGTTACAGTTTGTTACTCATGTTACAGTTTGTTACTGATGTTATATATTTATGTACAATATATATTGATTGATGGATTGATAAGTTTATTTGTTCGTTTCAGAACCTGCAGTTACTGCTGCAAACAGTTCGGAGAAAGACAATGGTGAGATATGTTTGAGTTATTAGAATTTATGCATTTCATACAAATTAAACCCCTAAATATTGTGACGTTGTTTAAAAATGCTAATAAAAACAGAATGTGATACATTGTAAAACATGTTCGCCCTTTATTAAGACAACATATCAAATGTGCAAACATTAGAATTTGATGTCAGCATATATATATATGTTTATATACTGTATATTCATGGTTTTCAAAACATAAAACCTTTATTTAAAGAGGAGGAAACAATTGAGTAAATGTCTTTTTCAAGAGTGTCCTGGTCGAGACGGGGGAAGCTCCGGTATAATAGTAATAAAAGTGCTTCATTTGTTATTCTCCAGAGGATGAAAGCTTCGACTCTGATGAAGGAGGAAAGAAAAACTTCAGGGCTAAATCTCAGATTCCAGCCCACAATCCAAGCCCTGCCCACAATCCAAGCTCTGCCTTCCCTCATCAGCCAATTATTCCTCAGCCTAAATCTGCTGTGAGGAACCGAACGTCCAAGAGGCGATCCAGGACCAACCGCCGCCAGATCTAACACACATACACACACACACACATCTAAACACACACACACACACACACACACACACACATTTGTGGTATGCTTTGTGGTCTGATTGGTCATCTGCAGGCGTGACATGTGTCCAGGAGCCTTTTTGAATTAAACTCTAAAAGTTTGACGTGTTTGAAATCAGATGAAATTGTTATCAATCATTGATACCAATATTCAATCGATATATGAATGACTTCATCCTCCTGGACTCCTGCAAACAGATTTCTATCAGCTCAGTTTTTTTTTTCCAAGTTCATATTTGTAAACAATGACACAATAAGATGTTGTATGTAAACTTTTCCATGTTGAAATAAAGTTTAGCTGAACATGACCTCTGAACTCTAAAACGCTGTCCCTTTTTCAGCTGCAAATTATTGTTTAGATTTTGCTCTACAACGCAAAGGCTCTAAGACGTCCTCAAGCTGTGCCGCCACTCCTCCCCGACTGACTAAAATAAAAACACAAATGCTCAACAACAAGCTTGGGCTACCTGCCATTCCTCCCCGCCACTCCTCCTCAACTGACTTCTATAAAAACGTGAAGGCTCTACAACACGCTTGAGCTGCCCGCCGTTACTCCCCTACCGACTAAAATAAAAAGTGAAGGCTCTACGACATGTTCCAACTGCTGGCGCCCGGGTTAGTCTGCATAGTCTGCTATCAGCTGAATTGGGCCACCAGAGGGTGCCACAAGCTGGCCTGATAACATAGACTCTACCTCCCATAGTACATTTAGAGACTGTAGGTAACACGAGCAGGCCTGATAACTGAAGGCTCTACCTCCTATAGTACATTTAGAGATGGTAGGTACCACGAGCAGGCCTGATAACTGAAGGCTCTACCTCCCACAGTACATTTAGAGACCGTAGGTAACACAAGCAGGCCTGATAACTGAGGGCTCTACCTCCCATAGTACATTTAGAGATGGTAGGTACCAAGAGCAGGCCTGATAACTGAAGGCTCTACCTCCCATAGTACATTTAGAAATGGTAGGTACCACGAGCAGGCCTGATAACTGAAGGCTCTACCTCCCATAGTACATTTAGAAATGGTAGGTACCACGAGCAGGCCTGATAACTGAAGGCTCTACCTCCCATAGTACATTTAGAGACTGTAGGTATCACGAGCAGGTCTGATAACTGAAGGTTCTACCTCCCATAGTACATTTAGAGACTGTAGGTACCACGAGCAGGTCTGATAACTGAAGGCTCTACCTCCCATAGTACATTTAGAGACCGTAGGTACCACGAGCAGGTCTGATAACTGAAGGCTCTACCTCCCATAGTACATTTAGAGACCGTAGGTACCACGAGCAGGCATGCATTTAGGGAATATGATGTTCGAGAGGGGTAATAAGGCACTATGAACTCAAGGTGACCATTAGTTTAAGTGTTATTGTTGTTATAACTCCAGTATAATCAAACAGCTGTGTGTGATAGTCATTACTTGAAGTAGAATAATTTTCATAAAGAGTATTTTTTTTTTAAAGGAAAATAAAATGGAATCATTTTCATAATTAACTCTGGTCTGCTCTGAATATGAACACACTGGTTGTTATAAATAAGGGTTGTATAAAGCTGACACAGAAACAGAGTTTTTTAAAGTGCACTTCCAGGTGTTCAAACTAAACTGAAAAAAAGCTCATTATAGGCTATTAGAATGCTAACACACGCACACACCCAGTAACAAACAGACAGATTTATTTCACTCTTTGTCTTTTTGTTTTCTGTCCCCAGCTGAACTCCCACAACAATCCACTTTTCAGGTTTACCCATGTTTTCAACCCCAAACCCTCAGTTGTTTACCCACAGATGAACTATTCATAAATTAACAGTGCAGTGAGCAGAACTTATCCTTTGATCAATAAAAAGAACCGCTAACAGCTCTGTTCAGCTATAAAAAAGTACAGCTAACAGCTCTGTTTATCTATAAAACATACCATTAACAACTCTGTTCATCTATAAAAATTTCCGCTAAAAGCTCTGTTCATCTTAAAATGTACCACTAACACCTCTGTTTATCTACAAAAAGTACAGCTAACAGCTCTGTTCAGCTTCACTGGCCTGCCTCTGTGACTCTTTGTGTTAAGATTTGACAAACCAGTTCTTGACTGAATGACATAGCTCACCCACCAACACACACACAGGAATGTACATATTCTGTTATTTCCTTGTAGTAAGCGATCTGGTGCGGTTTAGTCTCAACCAGAGATGAACCTGTAACAGGTAAAGTTGTACAGTTTGACCTGCAGTGAGATCAGAATCCCTCTCCTTTCTTTGCTTTGTGTTGCATTTAAATTCTCTTCCATAATTTATTTCATTTATTTTTATTTCATAGCAGCAGACGTTTTACCCGCACGATGACAAAGAGTCGATTTAGACCTGCTGCTTTAGTAACGTGTCTCAGGATACCGTTTTCATATATTTATATAAACAAAGATGGGTTGATTGATTGATAAGGAATGATGATATATCCTGTATGAATCTGAGAATATACCACAGCTAACAGCAGCTTGAAAATGCTCCTTTTATGTCATCATCTTAATGATATTATAAATATTTAATCATACAAACCTGAGGGTACTTCATTATACTTTTATACTTCCACATTAATACAACACGTTTGTTTGTTTGTGAACTGGTTCTTTCTCTTATTTTAAACACACCTTTCTTTATAAAGTGTGTTCATTAACCAATCCTGATTAAATGTGTCATTCATTTAGTGTCAATGATGAAACTCAAGAACAACTTCTAGAAGCAGCTGTCATCTGCTTGTTTCTAAACTGGATATGTCACTGGAGTTAACCTGAGTGTGGGTGTTTAGACAGGTGTAGCAGGAGGAGGAGGAGGAAGAGGAGGAGGAGGAGGAGGAGGGGGGAGGAGGAGCAGGAGAGGAAGGGGGGGGAGGAGCAGGAGGAAGAGGAGGAGGAGGAGGAGGGGGAGGAGGGGGAGGAGGAGCGGGAGGAGGAGGAGGAAGAGGAAGAGGAGGAGGGTCTGGTCATAAAAAGCTGCGTCCCTGTGCAGCTGAGTTCAGAAACTCAACAAACAGCCGAGTGTCTTCCCTGTTAGTGACATCATGTTCATACGGTGAGTTCTTCTTCTTCCTCTAACCTTAACTCCTCGTCACGTTTGTCAAACTTTGTGAAGTTCAACAAAGTTCACAGAAACTAGAAGAACAGGAATTAGTTTTTTGTGTAAGATAGAAGACGTGAGATGTTTTTTTAAGTTTGATGATGAATTTTTTGCTCAATTTGACTCTAATGATGTCTAAATACTTGACGACACTGCTCATGTCTCGTCATTATCTTGTTGCGTTAATTCTTTGAACACATAATTGATCGTGTACTGTCTATTGTCTACTAATGATAAAATAGCTCATTTATAAAGTGTAAGATATTGTCTTTTAAAGAAGGAAGTTACATGTTTGCTGGTATTTGTCTATTCTGGCTCAGTGCATGTCTGCAGCTCTCGAAGCGTGCAGCTTTTGTTTCAGGCTCTGGTCTGTATAAATCCTAAGCCTGTGGTCTGTAGAAACCAGCAGAAGGGCTTCAGTGTTTCAGCATAAAGCAGCAGTCTTCTCGGCTTTTCACCTGACACTCGACTCTCGTCATGAACCTTAAAGCTTTTGTGTCTCTTTGAGGATCTGAGCGGCTTTGCTCCTGCGGCTCGTATCTCTCCATACGTTAGAAAAGAACAGATGCTTTGTTCTGATTTTTTTTCTTTGGAGGGAATACAAAGAAACAAAGTCGTTAACCTTTGAGGCTGAAGACGGGTCTCACCTGATAGCTTCTTCACACACCTTAAATTCATCAGTTTTATCTGACCCTTTACATTCTTTACATCTGACCCTTAAAATTCTTTACACTCTTTACATCTGACCCTTTACATTCTTTAAATCTCACCCTTTACATTATTTACACTCTTTACATCTGACCCTTTACATTCTTTACATCTCACCCTTTACATTCTTTACATCTCACCCTTTACATTCTTTACACTCTTTACATCTGACCTTTACATTCCTTACATCTCACCCTTTACATTCTTTACACTCTTTACATCTGACCTTAACATCCTTTAAATTCTTAACACTCTTTAAATGTGTCCCTTTACATTCTTTACACTTTTTACATCTGACCTTTACATTCTTTACATCTGACCTTTACATTCTTAACCTCTGACCCTTTACATTCTTAACATCTGACCCTTTACATGCTTTACATTTTTTACATCTCACCCTTTACATTCTTTACATTCCTGACACTCTTTACATCTGACCTTTACATTCTTTACATCTGACTTTACATTCTTTACATCTGACCTTTACATTCTTTACATGCTTTACATTCCTTACATCTCACCCTTTACACTCTTTAAACTCTTTACATCTGACCTTTACATTCTTTACATCTGACCCTTTACATTCTTCACATTCTTTACAAGTCACCCTCTACATTCTTTACTTTCTTTACTCTCTTTACATCCTTTACACTTTTAACATCAGACCTTTACATCCTTTACACTCTTTACTCTCTTTACATCTCACCCTTTACATTCTTTACACTCTTATCATCAGACCTTTACATTCTTTACACTCTTTGCATCTCACCCTTTACATTCTTTACATCTGACCTTTACATTCTTTACACTCTTTACATTTCACCCTTTACATTCTTTACATTCTTTGCATCTCACCCTGTACATTTTTTACATCTGACCTTTACATTCTTTACACTCTTTACATCTCACCCTTTACATTCTTTACATTCTTTACATCTCACCCTGTACATTTTTTACATCAGACCTTTACATTCTTTACACTCTTTACATCTGACCTTTACATTCTTTACACTCTTTACATCTGACTTTTACATTCTTTACACTCTTTACCAGAGGTGTAAAGTAACGAATTACATATACTCGCGTTACTTTAATTGAGTACTTTTTAGGTGTACTTGTTACTTTTAAAGTCGTTTTTAAAATCTGTACATTTACCTTTACTTAAGTAGGTTTTCTGTTAAGTATTGTAATTAGCTACATTTTAAATCACATCCGTTACTGAGTAAAACAAATAAGCCTGCTATGAATGATTTTCCCTCATCGCACCGGAGCGACAAGAGGCAGAGAGACAGAGAGACCCTTTTCTTGGCTCGGTGCCACTTCAGCTAGTGCAGCACGGATAAGCACCTCCATTACAGCGGGTCTACCTGCTGAAGGTGTTTATAAACTGATGTATCATTGTCTTAAGTCCAAGATGATTCAAATAATTTGGCTGTTGCTCTTACTCTTGGGCAAATAAGTGGCTGAGAATGCTGTTTCTCACAATAAATGTCCCTTATTGCCATCTCTGTGATGTGCTTTTATTTTGAAGACAATGTATCAGGAAGTTGGGTGTTATAAGTTGCAACAACTTAACAAATGTCAGTTGTGTGAAAATAAATACTTCAAACCAAACAGATTCAGTTAGAAGATTCAGCAGCCTGCTAAGAAGTAAACAAACAGTGACTAAAACATCTAATATAAGCTCATGCAGGCTCATTTTAAAACAATAAATGGATTATCTTTTATCTCAGGTTTAGTTGCAGCTAAATCAGCCTTTGAGGCTGCATTTGAGACTAAGCAGCCTCAGAATAATAAAACTAAAAACACTAAAATACTCTACACTGTCTATGATTGACACAAAGACTCTTTTAGTATTTTCTTAAATAGTTTAAACATTTCCCTTAATAAAACAGCTGATTACTTACTCCTTGATATTAAATTATCCATCATTATTTATATTTAGTTTTTGTCAATGGGCTATAAGAAAATGTTTATCTGAAAAGATAAATCTTTGTAAAGATTTGCCTTTAATTAAAGTAACTTTGAGATTAATATCTTCTCGTCGTTTTGCACTACACAGGGGAGATGCGTTGTTACAAAAAAGTAACTAAGCAACTTAAAGTACATTTTAAACAAGTTACTTTTTACTTTTACTTGAGTAGAATTTTAAACTGGTAATTTTACTTGTACTTAAGTAAAATTGTATTAAAGTAACAGTACTTTTACTTGAGTAGAATATTTTAGTACTCTTTACACCTCTGCTCTTTACATCAGACCTTCACATTCTTTAGACTCTTTACATCTCACCCTTTACATTCTTTACACTTTTAACATCTGACCTTTACATTCTTCACACTCTTTACATCTCACCCTTTCAATTCTCTACTTTCTTTACTCTCTTTACATCTCACCCTTTATATTCTTTACATCTCACCCTTTACATTCTTTACATTCTTTACATCTGACCTTTACGTTCTTTACATTCTTTACATCTGACTTTTACATTATTTACACTCTTTACATCTCACCCTTTCCATTCTTTACTTTCTTTACTCTCTTTACATTTCACCCTTTACATTCTTTACACTCTTTACATCTGACCTTTACAGTCTTTATATCTCACCCTTTACATTTTTTACATTATTATCATCTGACCCTTTACATTCTTTACATTCTTTACAAGTCACCCTTTACATTCTTTACATTATTAACATTTGTGTGTGTGTGTGTGTGTGTGTGTGTGTGTGTGTGTGTGTGTGTGCGTGCGTGTGCGTGTGTGTGTGTTTGTTACAGGTGTGTTGTGTTGCTGCTGCTGGTCATCAGTGCTGTCTCTTTTGCAGCTCCAGTCCCAGGTAAACTATGACATCACGTCTTAATCAGACACCATCAGTCATTTTTGATATAACCTCAGAACATGAAGTCTACATGAGAGTGTGTCATGTTGTTAAATTGAAGGTCTGACCTTCTCTGTTTAAATGTATGTATATTTACATATATATATATATATATATATATATATATATATAAAAAATGTATACATATATGCTTAAAATATTAGATTCTAATGTGTGTATGTGTGTCTCTGTGATATTTCAGATAGAAGTGAAGCTTTGCTGATCCACCTAAACGGTAACACACACACAGAAACACAGTTAGAACTATTAGTTAGCAGTTGGCACTGCGCTGCTTGGCATTGCACTGCTTGGCATTGCGCTGCTTTGCATTGCGCTGCTGCTTTGCACTATGCTGCTTTGCATTGCGTTGCTTTGCATTGCGTTGCTTGGCACTGCGTTGCTTTGCACTGCGTTGCTTTGCATTGCGCTGCTTTGCATTGCGCTGCTTGGCATTGCGCTGCTTGGCATTGCGCTCACAGGCAGATAGAAACAATCGAATCAAGCTGGTCTGGTCACTCTCAATCACGTTACATGCTGTCAGGACACGGTGTAACAGGATTTAACTATAGACTGTAAATATTAGTGGACGAAGCCTGAGTGACGTCAGCCATCTATTGCGGCAGGGCAGGAGCGGCAAATCCTTGTCATCCTGACTTTCAGTCAATCTAATGACAGGCTGAGAGCTGGAGCTGAGGAGGGTTTTAAGCCTCTTGACACACTGTTCGCTACACACACTTAACTTTTCTTACCCCACAACATCAGCTTGATTGAGACGGATGCTTATTTTGGTTCTTGTTGTCTATTGTAGGAGGAAGTACAGATGAACCTGTGACCTCACAACCAGGTAACAACACAACACATACACACCATATACCCTAGAGCTGCAGATATTTCTCTATAATCCCATTACAATTTGTATGCTTTATAAGTTTCAATATTCGAATATATTCTAATTTTTAATGTTAAAATTTAGTAGGCTACTATTTAAACTATACCATAACTAAAGGCAATTTTACTAATTATTACGGCAAACCTTGCGCCCATACTACATGTCATTTTCTTCATCATGAAGCTTTGGCACAGTATAACGTTCACTTGGATGCATGCATTGCCCATAGTATTTTTAATATAGCCAAAACAGAGCAACGCAGCGTGACGTGGCTCGCCCTTTTTACTCCAACGCTCCATTTCTATTTCTCTCTCTGTCGCTCGGGTGAAGGTGGGGGCTCTGCACGGCACCGACACTCGCCTTTCTCACTCAGCAGTTTGTTGGCTTGTTGTACAAAGTGGAGATAACAATGTATTAATAATATCCACATATGTGATTGAAATGTTGAGCTTTGACTTGTGTCAACAACACCGGAGAAAAACCTTTTCATGGGCTCACTGTGCAGCTTTTAGTGACGAGCCTCTGTGTCTCTGCTACTCCTTGATACAAAGCACCACACATCCGCGTGTCCACCTTTAATACAAACGCTCCAGATGTCTTATTGTTTGCAACACCTAGGCTGACAACTTTTGGAAAACTGTTTGAGGAACATTAACATCCTCAAGTGAATTGATTAACTAGTTATCCAAAACATTTTAACCAATTATTTATTTGTAACAAAATTACATTGTCGAATGGCAATTAAGCATTTGAATATTGTTATTATTTTGAATATTCAAATTATATTTGAATTTCAAATTTCGTTCCTGCAGCCCGAATATAGACACTTTATGCACACTGATGACCTGTCTGTCTGATGACCTGTCTGTCTAATGACCTGTGTGTCTGATGACCTGTCTGTCTGATGACCTGTCTGTCTGATGACTTGTCTGTCTGATGACTTGTTTGTCTAATGACCTGTCTGTCTGATGACTTGTTCTAGATGACCTATCTGTCTGATGACCTGACTGTCTGATCACTTTTTCGTCTAATGACCTGTCTGTCTGATGACTTGTTTGTCTAATGACCTGTCTGTCTGATGACCTGTCTGTCTGATGACTTGTTTGCCTGACGACTTGTCTGTCTGATGACCTGTCTGTGTGTCCCTCAGAGTCAGATGAGTCGACCCTGTCTCCAGGTCAGTGTGTTATATTGTAAAGTTTTTATTCCATCAACATTTTGAAAAAATGAATGCATTTCTTTCTAATCTTACTGTACTGTTGTTGTGTATCTATAAGTGATTGTTTTTGCATTGTTCCAACACAAAAACAACTGACTAACACACAACAACCACAGGCTGACACCAAACAAACCACCAACTGACACACAACAACCGCAGACTGACACAAAACAACTACAGACTGACACACGACTAATGACACACAACAACCACAGAGGGACAAACAACTACAGACTGAAACACAACCACTACAGACTGAAACACAACAACCACAGACTGACACACAACAACCACAGACTGACACACAGCAACAGACTGACACACAGCTACAGACTGACACACAACAACCACAGACTGACACACAAAAACTACAGACTGACACACAACCACTACAGACTGAAATACAACAGCTACAGACTGACACACAACAACCACAGACTGACACACAGCTACAGACTGACACACAACAACTACAGACTGACACACAGCTACAGACTGACACACAACAACCACAGACTGACACACAACAACTACAGACTGACACACAGCTACAGACTGACACACAACAACCACAGACTGACACACAACAACTACAGACTGACACACAACAACCACAGAGGGACAACAACAACAACAACAACAACAACAACAGACTGACACACAACTACAGACTGACAACTATAGACTGAAACACAACAGCCACAGATTGACACACAACAACCACAGACTGACACACAGCTACAGACTGACACACAGCTACAGACTGACACACAACAACCACAGACTGACACACAAAAACTACAGACTGACACACAACCACTACAGACTGAAATACAACAGCTACAGACTGACACACAACAACCACAGACTGACACACAGCTACAGACTGACACACAACAACTACAGACTGACACACAGCTACAGACTGAAACACAACAACCACAGACTGACACACAACAACTACAGACTGACACACAGCTACAGACTGACACACAACAACCACAGACTGACACACAACAACTACAGACTGACACACAACAACAACAACAACAACAACAACAACAACAACAACAACAACAACAGACTGACACACAACTACAGACTGACAACTATAGACTGAAACACAACAGCCACAGATTGACACACAACAACTACAGACTGACACACAACAACCACAGACGGACACATAACAACCACAGATTGACACACAACAACTACAGACTGACACACAACAACTACAGAGGGACACACAACAACAACAGACTGACACACAACTACAGACTGACAACTATAGACTGAAACACAACAACTACAGACTGACTGTCTGATCAATAACTTGGATCTGTTTGGATGAGCAACTTGCTAATGTTTGGGGCAATAATAACAATATGTGATGAGCGTCAAACATTTTATTTTCTCAGACACTACCGACACTTCAGCTCATATTGAAACTGAGCAGAACAGTGACACCTACTCAAAGGGCGACACTAAACCTGAAACTGAGGACACTGATACAGACAAGGATGACAGCACATCAGAGAAGGAATTAATGGAAGGAGATGGGGTAGATAGTAGGGACACAGAGGGGAAGGAGGGAGAGGAAACAGATTTGTCAGAAGAGGTCAAACCACCAGGAGGTGAACAGCAGGTGGTCTTAAAAGAAGACGTCAGTGAACAGAATGAACACATTGAGAAAGAGGACGAAGATACAAGTGACGGAGACATGGAAACAAGTAAGCCTGACAATGACAGCAGTGAAATGGTGGACTCCAAGGATGAGGAGGTGGAGCCAACCAAAGATGAGCAAGAAGTGACCACAAAGGAGGACGACAGTGAAACTGTACCTGACAATCAGGAGAACACAAGTGAAGACAAATTTGACTCCAAGGACAAGGGGACTGACTCAGCTGAACAGGACGACAGTGCTGGGAATGATGACAAAAAGAACAAAGACGAGGATAATGACGAAGTGAATGATAGAAACAGTGACACGAGTCAGTCCAACAGTGATGGAGGTGACAATGATGACATAGGGGAGAAAAGTGACAATGATGATAGCGGTGACGACGGTGACCACAGCAAAAAAGTTGAAAACAGTCACAACGATGACAACAATGACAGCGATGACAACGATGACAGCAATGACAATGATGACAGCGATGACAACGATGACAACAATGACAACAATGATAACGGTGACAAAGGTGACCACAGCAATGGTGACAATGATGAAAACGGGGACAATGGCGACAACAGTGACCATAGCCAAAGCGATGACACTAGTGATGTCACTGTTGGTGGTGATGAAAATAACAGCAGTGACAGAAGGGAAGATGGAGATGATGGTGATGACAAAAACAGCCGCGACAAAACTGAAAATGGCAATGGTGGTGGTGCTAGCAATAATAGCAGTGACGGCGATGACGAGGTTGATGATGGTGATGATGGTGATGATGGTGATGATGGAGACAGCAGTAACAACAGTAACAACAGTAACAGTGAAGCTGAGCCTTACCATGAGATGCCGGACAATGTCACTGGGGATGATGAGGTGAAACAGGAAGAGTCTGCAAAACCTGAAAAGCAGCAGCCTGATGACCAGAGTCCACACACTCCTGACTCCACCGAAGGTAAACTGGGACTTAAGCCCAGGGTACTCCGAACAATTGTATAAAAGTCATCTTGTTACATCACACTGTACAACTGAATCATTTACGACGGACAACCAAGGCTCACCATTTATGTGCTCACACTGGAGAAGTTAAATTAAGACAGAGCATTCACAATTATCAATAGCAAACTCCAGCAGACAGATTTTTTTTAGAATCCAAATTTAAATCGTCAGGGTTCAGGAGCACAAATGAAAAAACAGAGATGCAGAAATGAAGATCGACAAAAGTCTCTTAATCAGGAAGAAGTTAATTCAACTTTTAAGATACATCTCATAGAAATTATGGATTTCAAATTCAGTAAGACTTATAGGCTGCACTCTGTCTGTGTGCATAGGACCTTATGTAAGTGTGAGTCTGAATGTTTGTATAAATGACAGGGTATAAAAGACCCTGTGAGTGAGTGGCGACCTGTCCATGGTGTATCCCACCTCTCAGCTCCTTGTTCTGGTTCACTAAAAGCTACGGGTCCTTAACCTAGAGGTTATGAATGCATGGACAAGTAGGCTGTCCTTGAAAAATGTTTTACGTGAGAGTTAAAGGACATATCTAGATAAAACAGAACTCACAGATTCCTAACAGGGGTGCTGGATGCCAGGCTGATAGGACAGTTGGGGGGGTTAGGGCTAACCCTAACTCTAATTTCTATAATTAGAAAAAGTGTATCTGGGGTGTTTGGGGTCAAACAAAATAACTTAAGTCTGTCTGAGTTAAGGCCTGGTTCCATTCACTGCATTTTTAGTGCGAACAGCACCCATAACCTCAATTTCAGAGCCCTTCTCACTGGCGCTTACTGTTGCTAGGTTACTGAAATTGTCTCAAGGCAGATGCCTCCCTTTCTAGTGACTGTTAAGTCTTTTTTATGTTCTGTATGCTCAATATCTGCTTTTATTTAAGGACATTTGAAAAAGAAAAATTAAACCATAGAAATAAATTGTGTCCTGTAATCTGCAGCACCTCTAGATCTGGAGACTACTCAACCAATCATGTTGACAAATTTGATATGAGTAGTTTCGCCCCATTCCGACGTAATTGGTCAGTGATAGAGAACACAGAAAAACAACAGCTAAAATTGTTTTGTTGTCAGCAGACTGAGCACTGAAAACTTTGAAAACACTGTCTTGCCTAAGAAAGCTGATTTGTGTCATCTGGCTTAATTGATAAGTGTAAGTGAGTATCATCTGCATAGTGCTAACATTATTGGGAGTGTTTCCTCAAAATACTACCCAGTGGAAGCAAGTATAGCTGAAAATAATTGGTCCAAATACTGAACTTTGTGGAACTCTGTTACTGATTTGTCTAACAACAAGAACTGATTGATGACATAATGAACTTTGATTAACGAACGTTCAGAAAACAAATGCAAGAAACATCTTTGTCGGCCAGAAGGTTAGGGCTGGGGGACCACAGATGGAATTTAGCTTATGGCTTTAATCTGGTATATTTACATGTTTATGTTCAATATTTGAAATACATACAAACAAACATATACATCTATACATACATACATATGTTAATTCATTCATTCATACATACATACATACATACATACATACATACATACATACATAGAAAAACTGTTTATACACAACAAAAACAAATCAATAAATATACTTTTTTTTCTCACAGCAGAAGAGATGAATATTTGTGGATGTTGTGTCACTTTGTTTGTTAATGAGCTCTCAACTGGTTTTGGGTTGCAGTGACATCTTCTGACCAACCAGACAAACCGGACGACTCCCCCCATGCCACCACAGCTGGTAACGGTTACACCCTACCGTGACATCACAGCTTCACAGCAAATCACATTCAGTCACAGCAAACATTTAACTTCACTGTTCTCAGTATCAAAAGATGATGCTGAGCTCAACAAATACTAAAAAAAAAAAAACAACAACTATGTTTTAACATCTGTTTGTGTCTTTTAGCCATGAAGTAGATCCGTTCGGCCCCTGAAGACAGAAAGCTCAGCGACTGCAGGTATCATCATACTAAACCTTTCAAACACACACATACACACCTCACTTAGAGTGACACTGTATGGGACTGTGCTGCGAACACCACCACCCAGATCAGATGGAGCGAGGAGCATCTTCCACTCATTTTAATTCCAAGCTTAAACTCTAAAAACAGAAGCACCCTGTGTTGATTTTACTGCTGCTTTACAACCAATTAATCACCTGTTCTCACAGCAGCAAAACTTTAACTCATAAACAACATGACCAACAAGGCAGACATTACTAACTGATAACTGAGAAACAACTACTAACTCACCATGACCAACAAGACAGACATTACTAACTGATAACTGAGAAACAACTACTAACTCATCATGACCAACAAGAAAGACATTACCAACTTATAACTGAGAAACAACTACTAACTCATCATGACTAACAAGAAAGACATTACCAACTTATAACTGAGAAACAACTACTAACTCACCATGACTAACAAGAAAGACATTACCAACTAATAACTGAGAAACAACTACTAACTCACCATGACTAACAAGAAAGACATTACCAACTAATAACTGAGAAACAACTACTAACTCACCATGACTAACAAGAAAGACATTACCAACTTATAACTGAGAAACAACTACTAACTCATCATGACTAACAAGAAAGACATTACCAACTAATAACTGAGAAACAACTACTAACTCACCATGGCTAACAAGAAAGATATTATTAACTAAAAACTGAGAGAACAACTTCTAACTCACCGTGACCAACAAGACAGACATTATTAAATAACTGAGAAACAACTACTAACTCACAATGGCCAACAAGAAAGACATTATTAACTAAAAACTGAGAAAAAACTACTAACTAATCATAACTAACAGCATGTTCAACAACAACAAGAGACTGGCATGATTATCAATTGACTCAAAGTGTTGTTATGTTTTGTCACCATCAGAGCTGACCCCACACTGGAATACAGTTGCCATGACCCTAACAACAAGCTGACCACAAATAACCTTCAACCTTCAGCTTTCTATTTGTTGCCTCAACCCAGCTCTTTCCTGATTGGTGGTCAATATTTTGAAGTTGTCCTTCTTGACTTACCTAAATTAACTGAATTTGTCTTTTAATCTGTTTCACAGTCTTCCTGTCTTACTTTCTCTGCCTGTCTCACTCTCTCAGCCCATCACTCCTGTCTATTTCACTCCCTGCCTGTCTCACTCTGCCCGTCTCACTCTCTCTACCAATCTCCCATGTTATTTTCATCTTCCTGTCTCACTCTTTGCCTGTCTCTCTCTCTCTGCCTGTCTCACTCTCTGTCCATCTCTCTCTCTGCCTGTCTGTCTCTGTTTTATAAACTGTAAAGAGTCATGATGATGTTGGACTGTTGATGAATAAGATTCTTGATTGTCTGTGTATAGAAGAGTTTCTAATAAAGTTTTGAATTGTCTGAAACTTTTTTCTCTGCTCCTCGCCTCCCGGAGTCTTTATTTAGTCTTCAATAAAAACATACATATATATGATCAGTTATTACATGTTTAAATGATCAGTTACACATACACAGACACACACACACACACACACACACACACACACAAGCACACACATAAACAAACTCATTGATTTGCTGTTGTCCATCTTTGTTGTGACGCCCCACAAATGAACAAAAAAGTCCTAAACTAACACCATTTCTGCCTGGAAGTGACCCACACTGTCTTTCTAACAAGAGATCAGCTCATCATAACCTGTCTGAGTGTGTGTGTGTGTGTGTGTGTGTGTGCGCATGTGTGTGTGTGTGCGTGCATGCGTGCGTGCGTGTGTGTGTGTGCGTGCATGTGTGTGTGTGCGTGTGTGTGTGTGTGTGTGTGTGTGTGTGTGTGTATGTGTGTGTGCGCACTAGCGCACCTATCTAACAGGGGAGTCGTTACACACTCACCAACAGGGGACTTGTCAGCCAACAACGCTATTTTTTTTAGGTCCCCACTAGGAAATGCTTTAAATCATCCTAAATCATGGCAAAACCACTCTGGTGAAGTTTTACAATTTTTGCACAGAGGGGTCCTGAAGGTGTGTGAGTGTTAAAGGACCTTCTCTGCAGTGCCTCTACTGGCTGGAGCAGGAATTTTAACGACCCATTCACACACATTCTATCACTCCTCCATTGTTTCAATGGCCCCAGCCCCAGGAGGTCTTTCTAACTGTAGAGGGGCTGTTTACATGACACAAAGAGAAGAAAAACAGCCTTTTAAATCAGGATTAGTTCATATTATTTCAGAAACAAAATGTAAAGGCTCAGGTTTATTGGATCTCTTACATTTCCAACTTAACACTGGATTAAAATAAACTCCTTCAGAAAGCAGCATGATACCATTTACTTTAATATATAAAATAAAGGAAAATATTTGAAAACCACCAATATATACACTGGAAATAAAGATGTGAAGATTGAGATATATACAAATTATATATTTATTCAGTTTTAATTAACCCTAAAAAAACTGATTTGACATTAAAACTGTGTTTTCAGTCATCTCAGACATAATCGGATATCTTTTTTTTTTTATCAATGTGTGCTAAGCCATTTTCAATAGGTAAGCCATTTGTTTTTTGATGCACATTTAAGAAATGTCCATTCATGTAATACCACGTGTCATGTCCAGCTCTGTGTCTTAGGTTATGTTTTAATTTCTACTTCTCCTCTCATTTCAGATCCTTCACTTCCTGCCCTCATGTGTTTCCCACCTGTGTGGTTGTCTGCCCTGCCCTGATTGTTCCCAGCTGCATCTTGTTGTCTTCCCCCTCACCTTAGTATTTAGTCTGTGGCTTCCCTTCCTTCAGTGCCAGTTCGTCTTTGACCCCTGTGTGAAGCGTACAAGCCTTTTGTTTCCTCTTGGATCACTTTTTTGGATTCTGTCTGCTTGTAAGAAGTAAAGACTGTTTTTTTTCACCTAACCAAAGACTGTGTTTTGGGTTGTGCTTTTGAGTTCAATTACCTGTGGTTTTGTTACACCACGGTCCACTGTTGGCTGGTATGTAATGAATAGAGTTCCCTATAAGGACATTTATGTAAAAAAAAAACTAATAGTTACACACAATGCAAAAAAATAATACGTATTTTAAAAACTGAATTAAAAACATAAGTATGAGTAGGAATGTAAAGATGTGTTTCTTGCATTGACCGCATTGCATATTGGCTCTTTTTACACACTCGTTTACACACCAAGCTGATCATCTGTCACTTCTGCAAATTTTCTTTTGGTCCACTGTGTGAGAAACTGAAATAATCCCATGATGTTAAAGGAGGAAAACTTAACAATGAGGTAAGGTTTTTAAAGTTTCCTAACTGGAAAAAAGGCTTTGGGCCGCAGGTGGAGGAGATACAAAGAGGCTTTGGATGGCCTGGGTTGCAGTATTATTAGAGTACCTCGATATGGAGGACTGGAAATAAACATGGAGCTCAATACAAAAGTAAAAATAAAAACACAAAATCTAATTCAAGCAGCAATATCAATTTATGTCACGTTTCATAAATTACTTTAGCTACACTTACTTTTAATATAATTTTTTTAAAGATAATTTTTTTGGCTTTCTGTGCCTTTATTTGAGAGATAGGAAAGTGGATAGAGTCAGAAATCAGGGAGAGAGAGAGAGTGGCAAATGTCATGCGAGAAAGGAGCCACAGGTCGGATTCCAACCTGGGCCGCCCGTTCTTGTGTCGGTTTTTACGTTTCGTGTGTTTTTTTAATAATAATAATAATACATTTTATTTATAAGCACCTTTCTAAACACATAAGGTCACTGTACAACAATCAACATTTGAAAAACAACGATGGATAAAATCAGCATACAATAAAAGAAATGAAATATAGGCCAGTGTAATTACAGTTAAAATGTTAGAGTGAGTAGGAGATCTTAAACAGATTGGTTTTGAGTCTGGATTTGAAGATGGGTAAAGAGTCAATGTAGCTTATGTCAGGTGGCAGAGAGTTCCACAGCAGCTGAAAGTTCTCCCCCCCCCCCCCCCCCTCCCTCAGGAGGAGGATCTGAGGGAGCGGACTGGAGTGGCGATGTGAAAGAGGTCAGACAGATATGGAGATATTTTAGTTCTGTGACTCAAAATATGTTCCTTACAGAATCAGTTTTGTGTTTCTTTGTGAAATACTGCTAACTAATCCATCCATATCCAGTCCAGTTGTTATAGCCTTTTCATGAGCCAGAATCACCAAGTTTCTCTTTCTCTCATGTAACATTGTGCGCCGGAAGGGAAATACGACACGGGAAAAACGTTAACGTTAGCTAATGCTGGGTAGCTCGTTAGCAAACTCTAACGCTAGCTACTGACGCTAACACCAACAAACAACCAGCTAAACCACTTGGTTATAGTAGCTACCAAACAACTAAACAGCACGCAAATATGATGTAAAATATCAATCAACAGTATTTAAAATTCCAATCTCCCAGATCGACTGAGTCTACCGCTCAACAAGCTACGCTAACACGGCTACAAGTAGGCTGTGTACAGTTAAGTGACAGTCAACTGATAACAAAACTGACAACCTCTCTCACTGGTCTCCATATTTTATATGGCCAAACCAACCAATAGGGTATTAGTAAAACATATTTTGCAGTGGCATTTTCTGATTTGTTGAATTGACAGGGAAAAAAAACCTTTTATGTCTGAACATTTTGGTGAAAGGAGGATATTTGGCTTTAGTGGGGCAGGCTGATCATGCCCCCCCTGCCCATGCCTAAAACCGGCCTCGGTGAGCATCGTCTGTTAGAACACAAAACAGGGGCCTTGTGTTATATTAAGCAGAAATGAACATGCTCATATCTCTGCACAGCTTTAGGATGACAGATTATTTTTCTATCAAGAGATCAGCTCATCATAACCTGTCTGTGTGTGTGTGTGTGTGTGTGTGTTGAGTGTGTTTTTGTGTGTGTGTTTGTGTGTGTTTTTGTGTGTGTGTGTGTGTGTGTGTGTGTTTATGTGTGTGTGTGTGTGGGCCTACAGGTCAGTTTTCTTTCTTCCTCTCAGAGTATTTTCTTCTGAGGATTCACTCTTCCAAACCAGCGACCTGCAGCACAGGTAACCTGACTACTCCCCCTTCACTACACCTGGGTCAGCTTTGAATGGTGAAGACCACACGCCTCGCAGTCGATATCTGACCGTCAATAACCCCATCAACAACAGCTGAAACAGCAGGGAACCTACAGTTACAAAACAGAACAGGTGAAACAGGACGTGGACTAGAAGCTGACAGGAAATCACGAACACTTTTAAAGTCTGGGCCCCACTCTTGTTGTTTCCATGTTTTTCCAGTTGTTAATAATCAGTCGTGGTGTCTCTGCTCTGTGACTTCCTGTCTCTCTCCCGTCCCACAGCTCTTAGTTACAGATGGACACGGCGTCTATCTGACTAGCTGTCTCTCTCCCGTCCCACAGCTCTTACTTACAGTAGGACACTGCGTCTCTCTGACTAGCTGTCTCTCTCCCGTCCCACAGCTCTTAATTACAGATGGACACGGCGTCTCTCTGACTAGCTGTCTCTCTCCCGTCCCACAGATCTTAGTTTCAGACGACATTAGGATCAAAGGTTGACTGAGTCCAGTCATTCAGAACTAAGCTGGACAAGACTAAACCTTAGAGTGCTTCTAATTTCTCTACTGGACCTGATCCCGGATCTAGCTCAGCTCAAGCAGGGTTCTGGTTTCAGACTTCCTCCTGCAGAGTGATGCCGACTCATGTTCTGCCCCAATTCACACAGACAGCAGGAAACCCTCTTCAGAATAAAAGCTCATAGAAAGGTCAATAGAAGGTCAACAATTACATATTAACATGTTACATTTATAATGCACACACACTGACACACTCATATTTATGTATGTATGTGTGTGTGTGTGTGTGTGTGTGTGTGTGTGTGTGTGTTCATATATATATATATATGTGTGTACATATATAAATACACATATAACACATACTGTATATACATATTTATTCATCGGTTTAAAGTCAATTGAAAGTTTTAAACGTTTTCTCTCTCACTGACTGAATCTCGTCTTTCAGCTGAACAATAAACAACTGTTTGAGAAACTAATTAGACCTGAAACCTGATAAAGTGAGGAGGAGAGGAGAGGAATGCTGGTTTATTACCGTAATAACTGGAATTCTACAGCTTTTAATATCTGTATATTATTCTATGTGTTTCTTCTCTCTTATTAAATGCGTTTGTGTGTAAGTGTGTGTGTGTGTCATGGTTTCATTTTAATTTCAATTAAATATAATCAATGATTAATGCCTAACAATTAGTTAACATTAGTTAACTGTGTGAGGTTAGTTTGACTGCTGTGCTCTGATTGGATGGGAGGAGGGGGGACTGGGGTAAGATGTCAGGTAAGTCCTGCTCCCCTCAGTGCATGCTGGGATACGGTCCCCTCTCTGTGAGTATAAATACAAGCAGCTGTAGTACAGTTGGTAGTTTTGCAGCAGTACAATCATTGCTCCTCCCCTCTGTTTATAGCCGCTCCCCCTGTTATTAGCCCCTCCCCTCTATGTATGTAGACCCTCCTCCCTGTCTGTGTCCCATCCCCTTTGTTTGTAGCCTCTCCCCTCTACATGTAGCCCCTCACATCTGTCTGTCGCCCCTCCCCTCTCTGTGAGGATAAATACCAGCAGATGCAGCTCTTCAGATTCAGAAACACAGAAACATTCTGACTGCAGGATGCTGCCACTGTGAGTACAACTGATTGTGTGTTGTTTATTGTAATGTTTATAATATAAGTATTGATTATTGTATTGATCAGTATTGATGACATTGTTGATCTGTGATTGTTCCGCTCTGTCATCACAGGAAGCTGTGGATGGTGTGGGCCGCAGTTTTTCTGGTGGTTTCCCTGTCAGCGGCTCCTTTGGAGGGTAAAAAAAAAACTTCCAGATAAGTTTCAGGCTTTTGTTTGATTTTACGCTTTAGTCGAAGGTGTTGGTGATAAAAGAGTTTTTGTTTGGATTCCAGAGAAGGAGCAGGAGCAGGAGCAGGAGGAAGTGGAGGTGGAGGCCACAGAGGTGGGGGAGCTGTCTGAGGAGGAGGAGGGTAAGCATCCTGCTTTATTTTGAAAGGAATGCTTTCAATCACATTAGTTGTTTATAATGCAAACATTTTAGCTAATAAGCAAGATTACTTCATTTATGATTGATAGTAATTCATATTTTGTTTTAGTTTAGTTTAGTTTAGTTTATTTTGTGCTGGGTTAGGGAAGTTAAGTGAAGACTAGTTTAAGTTAACGTGCCAATTTTAAACATGAAGTTTCTCCAACATTTGACCTTTAAATCACATATTTGTTACAATGGGCTCACTTATAGAACACACTGCTACCAACCAATCAATTAACCAATCAGTCAATCAACCAATCAGTCAATCACGTAATCAGTACATCCATCCGTCATCTATCTCTCTATATTTCAGTATTTGTCTCGGGGGTTTGATGACCTCAGATCATCAAGACAACAAGAAAAACAAAGTGATGAATGAAATTGTATAACATTTACATTTGGACCAAAGTGTGCTCACAGTTTTTAGCCATCCAATGTTTGTGTCAGTGATAGATATAAAACCCCTGTCTGTGAATATCCTCATAATAGAAGAGGGAAATGAGGCCAAAGACACATTAGTTAATAGGACTGCTGATAAAAGATTCATTAATCAATAATACATCATGTATAATCATAAAACATTTAAAACTGTTTAAAACACCTTTACTCAGAAGAATGTTTCTTCCTTTCCAGATGATGATGACTCCAAGAGTCAGGATAAGATTGATGAGGGTGAGAGGCTAAAACACACTGTGACCTTAAACATAAAATTGCATAAACACAACTGCATTTTATCAAAAGTAAACACACTTTTAAACACATTTCAGATTACAATTTACTCTGCGTATGAGTGACTGTTTTTTATTTGACAAATCTAATTACAACTACTTATTTTGCTCTCAACAACAACATTTGTAATATAATATAATCTCTAATGTAAGTTGATTTGGATAAAAGCATCTGCTAAGTGAAATGTAGAAATAATATATCTGAGGATCATGATTATCAACTGGCATGTGTTGTTAATATACTACAGATTCACATTGTTGATATATTACACAATCATGTTATTAGACTGCAGAATCATGTTTATACACTGCAGAGTCACATTTATACACTGCAGAGTCATGTTAATAAAGTGCACACTCATGTTATTATAGTGCAGAGACATGTTAATATAGTGCAGACTCATGTTTATACAATGTAGAGTCATGTTAATACACTGTAGAGTAATGTTATTATAGTGCAGGGACATGTTAATATAGTGCAGGGACATGTTTATACACTGTAGAGTAATGTTAATACACTGTCATGTTGATACACTGTAGTCATGTTAATACACTATAGAGTCGTTAATAAAGTGCAGAGTCATGTTATTATAGTGCAGTCATGTTAATAAAGTGTGGAGTCATGTTAATAAAATGCAGAGTCATGTTAATACACTGTCATGTTGATACACTGTATTTCAGTATAATCACAGAGTAAGTGCTAAGGCTTGGTGTAATTTGTAAACATAAAGCGGTCATTTGTAGCACATAATAAAGATTTAATAAATTTAGTATTTTTTAAGATTAATTAAAATTATTTTCCCTTGAATGTTTCTGTCAATCATTGAAAGAGTGTTCTCTGCAAACAAACGTTTGATTCATCATGAACACCTGACCCTCCTCCTTCCAGCAGTACTCACTGGCGTGCAGCAGACCATTGCCACGGCGTCTGCGTCCGGAGGTTCAGGTGAGTCAGCCCTGATCAGGTTTTACCTCCTGAAAAGTTTGTTTGTTCCCTTTCAGTCTCAGGTTTAATCCAGATTTAATTGGGTCGCCAGGATTTCCAGGATTTATCAGATTAGTTCCATTCCCCTTTTTAAGTTTCTCAATCAGCCTTTAGTGCATGTTGGTTCAGTACCATGGCTACAGCGCCACCAGCTGGACCTGGTACAGCATGCAGGACAAAATCTGAACTCAACCTGATGTTTTATAAACAAAATAATTGTTCCATATTATATATCATGCCTGGGCTTAATGTCAAAGTTATTTGTTTACATTAAGTAAATCAAGTTATTTGAGGAAGGCTTGTATTGAATTCCAGCTTCCAGTGGTCTTTTGGCAGGAGGAGGAACAAATGATGGAACAGCAGGAAGTTCTTCAGGTGGGAGAACAAATGATGGAACAGCAGGAGGAGGAACAAACCATGGAACAGTAGGAAGTTCTTCAGGTGGAGGAACACACCATGGAACGGCAGGAGGAGGAACAAACCATGGAACAGCAGGAGGAGGAACAAACCATGGAACAGCAGGAGGAGGAACAAACCATGGAACAGCAGGAGGTTCTGCAGGTAGATAAGAAAATAATAATGATCCCGCTGGCGGAACATCGAATTATCAATACATCAATTTAAAAGATTCTCTGGGAAGGTTTACATAATTTGATGAATAAGTTTATCAATATCATGTCATCCTGCAAATTCACAACAACAGTTATATGATGACACTTGTCATAAAGAGCAAGTGTAGAGCGTACTCAATATTTACACAGACCAACATCCATCCACCACGAGACAAAGGTTGAACACTCGAGCAGGACCAGACTCACTTGAGAATGGACATCTGCTGAGACTCAGTGGAAGTTCATGTTTTAGTCTAATTATATAGCAGTATAATTATGATGTTGAGTTCATGCTCCAGTCTAAGCCTATAGCAGTATAAACAGCTGTGGTGTCCATGCTGCAGTCTAAGCCTATAGAAGTATAACTGGGGGGTGAAGTTCATGCTGCAGTCTAAGCCTATAGCAGTATAACAAGGATATTGAATTAATTCTGCAGTCTTAGCCTGCAGCAGTATAACTGGGGGGTGGAGTTCATGCTGCAGTCTAATGCTGCATTCATGTGCTGCTTGGGTGGTCAAGTTTCCGAATTGGGAAGTCATTCTTCCAACTTCAGTGTGTATACGTGATTTCGTTCGGAAAATGTCTGAATGTTTTTACAAAAGCGCAAAAAAGCGTTGATGCTACGAAGAAGATCAGTGAAATGTAACTGTTAAAATTGATGTGAAAAAAAGTTGATGTGCTGTACACTAATTAATAAAAAATATGTTAACATTAACAAAACATATTTTGCCCCCCATTTGATGATCCAAAATCCAATGCAAAAATCCGATAGGCGAATTCTCGTTAGACTCCATGGCGATGCTACTTCTGGGTTGGCCTACAAAAATATGTCATATGGTTTGTTCTCTATAGCAGTAGAACTAGGAGGTGGAGTTCATGCTGCAGTCTTAGACTATAGCAGTAGAACTAGGGGGTGGAGTTTATGCTGCAGTCTAAGCCTATAGCAGTAGAACTAGGGGGTGGAGTTTATGCTGCAGTCTAAGCCTATAGCAGTAGAACTAGGGGGTAGAGTTTATGCTTCAGTCTTAGACTGTAGCAGTAGAAGTAGGGGGTGGAGTTTATGCTGCAGTCTAAGCCTATAGCAGTAGAACTAGGGGGTGGAGTTCATGCTTCAGTCTTAGACTATAGTAGTAGAACTAGGGGGTGGAGTTTATGTTTGTTTTGTTCATTGCCTAAGTAGAAGTAGGGGGTGGAGTTCATGCTGCAGTCTTAGACTATAGCATTAGAACTAGGAGGTGGAGTTCATGCTGCAGTCTTAGACTATAGCATTAGAACTAGGAGGTGGAGTTCATGCTGCAGTCTTAGACTATAGCATTAGAACTAGGAGGTGGAGTTCATGCTGCAGTCTTAGACTTTAGCATTAGAACTAGGAGGTGGAGTTCATGCTGCAGTCTTAGACTATAGCAGTAGAACTAGGGGTGGAGTTCATGCTTCAGTCTTAGACTATAGCAGTAGAACTAGGGGGTGGAGTTCATGCTGCAGTCTAAGCCTATAGCAGTAGAACTAGGGGTGGAGTTCATGCTTCAGTCTTAGACTATAGCAGTAGAACTAGGGGGTGGAGTTCAGTCTTAGACTATAGTAGTAGAACTAGGGGGTGGAGTTTATGTTTGTTTTGTTCATTGCCTAAGTAGAAGTAGGGGGTGGAGTTCATGCTGCAGTCTAAGCCTATAGCAGTAGAACTAGGGGTGGAGTTCATGCTTCAGTCTTAGACTATAGCAGTAGAACTAGGGGGTGGAGTTCATGCTTCAGTCTTAGGGTGTGTTCGAATTGTCCCTCCTATCTCCTTTCACTATCCACTTTACCTTAACCCTGGAAGCATGTAAGTGGTGGCCATGATAAGAGCCGTTCGAATTCTCTAAAAGTTAAGGAAAGGTGGGTCAATGCTTCCTTTATAACCTCCTTTAGCATAGGTTACACTGGACCATCCTTTACGAAAGGAGATGAGATATGCCGCCCCACAATTCCTTGCGGCCGCAACATTTAAAGCGAGTCGCGCATCCGACCGTTCACAGAAATGAACGATGATCGTGAAGTGACACAGATCATGTAAGGGATAAAAAGATGAGAGACATTTTTATCCAGATGATGTTTTATTCAACATATTTCATTCACTTAAGAATGCTGTGCAGTTGTACATTTGTATGCTTAAAACATTAGGTGTAGGTTATATCTTACATAAATGTAACAATTAATTTCATATTTATGTTGATGTTGATTTCTGAGTGGACAGGAAGCTGATGGTTTCACTTTTCTTACTTGTAGCCTGGTAGTCTATATTTCTTTTATTTCAATCCCAACCTTGTGGTAATTAAGATTATTTCACCGGTAAGAAGGCACAGAAAAAGTTTTTTAGATGCGTTTTTTGTAGTCCATTTTTCGGAACATTGTAGTTTCAACACGGCAGACCCACGTCATTAACCTCCGCCGGCCCGTCGCATTTAATGACGTCGCCTAGTGGAAAATGTGGTCGGATTGTCAGAGCAACGAGATTGCCTTTCCCTAAGTTCTTTATGAATTCTCCTAACATCTTTCCTTGACCTCATGACGTTTTCGCGGGGTTAAGGTAAAGTGGATAGTGAAAGGAGATAGGAGGGACAATTCGAACGCATCCTTAGACTATAGCAGTAGAACTAGGGGGTGGAGTTTATGCTGCAGTCTAAGCCTATAGCAGTAGAAGTAGGGGGTGGAGTTTATGCTGCAGTCTAAGCCTATAGCAGTAGAACTAGGGGGTGGAGTTTACGCTGCAGTCTTAGACTGTAGCAGTAGGACTAGGAGCTGGAGTTCATGCTTCAGTATTAGCCTATAGTAGTAGAACTAGGGGGTGGAGTTTATGTTTGTTTTGTTCGTTGCCTAAGTAGAAGTAGGGGGTGGAGTTCATGCTGCAGTCTTAGACTATAGCATTAGAACTAGGAGGTGGAGTTCATGCTGCAGTCTCAGCCTATAGCAGTAGAACTAGGGGGTGGAGTTCATGCTGCAGTCTTAGACTATAGCATTAGAACTAGGAGGTGGAGTTCATGCTGCAGTCTAAGCCTATAGCAGTAGAACTAGGGGGTGGAGTTCATGCTGCAGTCTTAGACTATAGCATTAGAACTAGGAGGTGGAGTTTATGCTGCAGTCTAAGCCTATAGCAGTAGAACTAGGAGGTGGAGTTCATGCTTCAGTCTTAGACTATAGCAGTAGAACTAGGGGGTGGAGTTCATGCTTCAGTCTTAGACTATAGCAGTAGAACCAGGAGGTGGAGTTCATGCTGTAGTCCAAGGCTATGGAAGCAGAAATAATGCAAGCTGGTCTTAGCATGAGCCAGCCCTAACTATCAGCAACACAGTACTGCTGTACTGAAATAGTGAGATACTAATAACATCCCTACCTTAAATCAATCAGTAATAAATGAATAATATTTTTTGTCTGCAGGATCTGATGGAGTTGACTCAGACTCTTACAGTAAATTGGTTACACACACATACACACATTACAAACAGACACACATTAGAAAATATAAAAGTTAAAGGACCATTAGAGGTGATTATTGATTACCTCGTGTTTGATTCAGGCAATGGACAGAAACTGCTGAATGGTGGAGGAGGAGGCGCTGAAAGTCCAACAGGTGAGCTGTGGGGGATGGGACTAAAGGAGAATGCTGTAATTGACAGTGGTGAGAAACTGGCAGATATACTTTGTACCTGGATGTCTGTTAACCTCTCTCTCTCTCTTGCTCTGTAAGGTGTTTTCGGTTCATTAGGGGCCGGACTTTCTCACCTGGATTATACAGGTGAGTGTCCAGGTGAGGTCTGACTGCCATTCTTGTGGTTGATTATAGGTCTGATCCTTAATAGCAGAGATACTGAGATGATTGTTTAGTTGGATGATGTCATATGCAAATTATGTAATTATTAATTTATTTAATTATTTTAATTGATTTTCAGAGCCCTTCAGGCTGAGTTCTGAGGGAAACGCTTTCATACTGTTCTAACAACTCTTTAAAAAAAAACGTTAAGAATCATTTACAATCTCTGAAATTAATTCATGACTTTTTTCATCACACTGTACTGTCTTCAAACCAGGACCTTCACTACGAGCACACACCCCTTCCTCTGTTTGGGACTTTAACTGAGGTGTAACCCCCTATTGTTTTCCATTTACAAGCTTCCTTTTAGCCAGATCACTGACACCGTGTTGTCTCCCATTACTCATATGCAGATGACACGCAGCTATGTATTCCTTTCTGTTTTAGAACCCCTACAGGTCACATCTTTTAACCCCAACCTGAACCCTCAAAGATATTAATCATTGGACGTCCAAGAACGTTTTAAAGACAAATCTGAAGTATAAAATTTTGGGTCACTTTCATTCCTCCGGCCGTCTCCATAGCAACTATGGTCCACTCAACAATAACATCAAACGGAAAGCTAAAAATCTGGCCATGTGACTAAAGGCGACAGATGTCAGCATGACAGAAAACATTTCTTCGAATATCCATTTTCAGGAAGAGTTTATGAATTCTTTAACACATTTTTTTACCTCCTCTATCTTAACGCTCTTAAGTCGACTTTTTATTTTCTGATTGAAGAAGCACTTTGTAAACTTGGTAAGAGAGGTGCTATTTATGCGTATGTACAGCGGAATCCTACCTGTGACTCCATTTGCTCGCATCATTCCCGAACATTCTGGATTCTGACTCCATCACCTGTCCTGTCGCTTAATAAAGGCTGAAAAAGTCTCAAAATAAAACTTGATGAAGGGCTATTTTAAACAAGTGTATTTGTATCATGATAATTGATTTGATTATGAACCTTTAACTAATTTTCACCTTTTTAGGTTGCAGGGGTGGGCATAGCTCATCAAAAATGTTTCGCCATTAATCGTCAATCCATTAACAGAGACGTTAACTGTGTTTTCAGTTAATCCAATAATTCCTTTCATTATAAATTGAAGTTAAAATTATGTTAACCAGTCTTTGAAAACAAAGACAACATCAGATTTCTGTCAATAGATGTGTGTTCTTAAGAGGCCATGCTGAGTCAGAAAACTCTGATCCATCAGTGTGTGTTCTCATCATCAGCGTCAGGTAAACAGCTGCTGTTCTGTGCTTATAACTCCGGGTTTACATCTGACCATTGGACCATCAGACCATTAGACCATCGGACCATCCTACCATCCTACTATCCAACCAACTGACCATCCAACCAACTGACCATCCGACCAACAGACCATCCTACCATCGGACCATAAGACCATCAGTCCATCCTACCATCTGACCAACTGACCTTCCGACCATCCGACCAAAGGACCATCCGACCACCCAACCATCAGACCACCCAAGCATTGGACTACCGGACCGTACTACCATCGGACCATCCTACCACCCATCCATCCGACCATCTGACCATGTAAACCATTTCAAGATCCAACCAACACAGCAGCCACAATATACACACGTGTCAGACCACAGACAAACAAACATGTATTTTTTATTAATGTTTCTTCCCGTCTGAAGGTAGACTGTTCTCTTCAGGTCAGAAAATTCCAACTAAAATGGTCCTGCTACATCAACCAAGTCCCCACGATCCAGATCCAGGAACAGATCTAATCTAAACATCCCATCCATAACGATCCACAGATTGATTCAACATGTCTGCAGCTACTCTGTAATAATCATGTCATTGGACCAATCAGGACCTTCCATTCACTGTTCTTAGGCTACTGTATCCAATGAGAGCCTAAGTAGAAACAGGACTTTCTTTCTCTCCTCTACATGGTCTTCATCACACCTGATACAGACGTTTGAGTTTAAAATAAGAGAGAACAGTCGACAGTCTCGTCTCTTCAGAGAATCAGGATGAAGTGAGGTCAGCTGATTGGAGCTGGAGGAAGATAATTTAAGTAACGAATGTTAACGGCATTTAAATGTTGTGATTATAATTTTTCAAACTAACCTCCATGTTAAATATTAATAACAAATGTAACATCAATCATGATCAGGCGTGTGCCAAGATCTTTTGACTGTTTTTAAACATGTACAGGTTTTTTTCTCCTTCAGGAAATTTTGATTCATCAGGTCACGACTTCCTGCTGAGCCTGATGGGTGAGTCTCAAAAGTCCTGAGGAAGGATCAGTGCTTCATCTCCTGTTCCCTTCAGTGCCTCCTATACTGTCTCCTTCAGAGCCTCCTATACTGTCTCCTTCAGAGCCTCCTCTCCTGTCTCCTTCAGTGTCTTCTTTACTGTCTCTTTCAGTGTCTCCTTTACTGTCTCCTTCAGTGTCTCCTTTACTATCTCCTTCGGTGTTTCCTTTACTATCTCCTTCAGTCCTTCCTGTCTCTTCCAACTAGATGAGTAAGGAGATGACTGGCTGACATCTTCAGGTGTGTCAACAGCTTGTTCAAGTGTATCAGGCAGGCTATAAAATCATGAGCACTATGACCTTGAAGATGACCTCATACTGATTTTTGTTGATTTTGCTGTGTCGCTTCAGGTGGAGGTGATCAATTCGGACCAGACGTTCACATCAACCTCACAGGTGTGATTTAAGATCTTCTCTAAGTGATCAGTACAGGTGTGATAGAACAGGTGTTATAGTGCAGGTGTGATCAGTAAAGCTTAGTTGGTAAGCCCCCCCCCGCGCAGTAAAAGTAGTAAAAGTCACCTCTTTCATGTGAAGTCCATGGTTGTAACAGCCAACATTTTCAGTGTGTGTACATACAGAACATTCATGACAGGTTTCTGAGGACTAATAAACAAAAGTCGAATGTTCACACATACTCTGTGCGCGCAGCGGTCCGTCAGCACCACGCACTACGTTGTACTTAGCCTCCACTCTAGTCTATTATTGTGTTCACACAGGGCGCGCTGCGGTCCGTCTCCGGCGCGTGCCACCAACAGCACTACACTCTGCTCCGTTTCAAATACGCAGCGAGTCTATTTTCGACAGAGTGCGCTGCAGAATATGACAACCCGGACAGGAAATCAGACAAAGAAACGCACAGAGCATCCGGTCAATTTCAAAATAAAACACAATATACGGACTCACGATTGTATTTTTCATCACTTTATAAACATTACATCAAAACAGGTGCTGAATTAACAACAATGCATCCTCAGAAAGACAAAGCAACATGTTGTTTGCATGTTTTTCTCTTTATTCCCGCGGGATCTTGTAGTTCTCCTGTGATGTGTCATGGGTGCGCTCCGCTGCACTGACGTCGCAGAACCGGATCCAGTGTGAATTGGCGCGAGCCGTCCGACGCCGCAAAACCGTGGCGCTGACGGACCGCAGCACGGTGTGAATTGTGGGTCAGATGGCATCGAGGGTTCATAGATTACAACTTCACTTTTAAGGAAGCGTAAAAAGAGACCACCAAATTCTGTAGAAGTCACTGAGCATATGTTTATCAATTTTAAAAAGGAACTTAATTTTTGATAAAACAATTTCTCACAGGTGACTTGACTCCTCCCACTCAGTTGGACTCTACAGGTGATATGTTTTTTTGTATTTCAAGGTTAAATTGCACATCTCTGCTGGAGCTGATGTGACTTGTCCACTGATCAGACATCATTTAATTGTCTGTTAAACTGTTCATTACATTTCATATTTACATAAACTGTCAGGCAGTGACCTCTAGTGGCCGTAATAATTATAGATGCTTCATACATCTATTACACACATTTTGGCCATATTACGTCTGTCGAGTATGATACGAACAGATCAGTCCTTTATGTGATGTCTCAAACATTCACAACAAGTCTTTTTTATTCCCTTAACGCTTCTGTTTCAGTGGTCAGTTCAGGTGTGACAGCTACTCCGTCTGCACATCTAAATAGTGGTTCAAGTCTGGACTCAACTGCAGGTACATACTACACCCACAAGTGTCATGTGAACTGATTCAATATTGTTAAATTTAATATGTTAGCATATATCAATGCTGTTATTATGATATATTATGTTATAACAAAGGTTTTAATTTAAAAGTGACCAACTCTGGTTTATTCAACATGTCTGAAGAGGAAGTGAATTCATTTTGAAACATTACAATTTTTTTTATTATTCTTAGATGTTTATATTTTTGTTCTCATGGTTTTGTCTCTCTTTTGTAGATGCTGCTCATCAATATGACATTAGGGACCAGTCAGAACCAGACCTCACTTCTCTAAGCTCGGAACCTGACCAATCAATGATCAGCTCTGTTTCAGGCTCCCCCAACCCTGTAGCCCAGGGAGGTAAGCATAGAAAAGACTTTAATACTGAACTATAGAAAATATTTTACTGTGAAGGCCTCCTGCTTAATATTAATGTTTCAGTTTCAGCAAACAGTGAAGCTCAAGGTGAATATGCACACATGTACAGGTGCTAAATGTTTTGCATATAAGAAAACAGCAGAGTAATGTCTGTGTAGAAACAAACAGCAGAGTATCATCTGTGTAGAAACAAAGAGCAGAGTATCATCTGGTTAGAAAAAACAGCAAAGTATCATCTGTGTAGAAACAAACAGCAGATTATCATCTGTTTAGAAACAAACAGCAGAGTATCATCTGTGTAGAAACAAACAGCAGAGTATCATCTGTGTAGAAACAAAAAACAGAGTATCATCTGTGTAGAAACACAGCAGAGTATCATCTGTGTAGAAACACACAGCAGCGTATTATCTGTGTAGAAACAAACAACAGAGTATCATCTGGTCAGAAACACAGCAGAGTATCATCTGTGTAGAAACACAGCAGAGTATCATCTGTTTCGAAAAAAACAGCAGAGTATCATCTGTTTAGAAACAACTCTCTAAGAACAAAAAAGCAGAGTATCATCATTAAAGAAACAAGCATCAACAAAGGTTTGACATTATGAAACTGAAGTCAGATAAGTTAGAGAAACGGAAATGCTAACTCATTTAAAGTTAAACAGACTTTACATATTAGAATAAGTAATACATTTAATGCAGTGTGTAGAACATTCATTTAAAGTTGTCTTTTCAATGACATTGGATAATGTTAAGGATACCAAAACTCTGGTTTCTACATTAACTCCCCATCACCAGAATCAGAAATGTATTTACTTTGAGGATATTATCATTCCATTCATTTAACTGCAGATACACCAATGAACTTCTTGTGTTCGGTTAAAAACAACTTTAACTTTGAATTATTCTGATTTCTTTAGATGGAGCAGACTCTCCACATAACAACGGTAGGATTTGTCTGACATCATGTCTGTAGTTGATCTTGTATTATCTTAATGATTGATTATACTGTTAAGGCCAGTGGGGTTGTATGCAGTCAATGGTACACCTATTAGACACAGGAGAAGCCAGCTAGCTCAGCCCCTTTATGAAGAAACCGGTCAGAGTGCCGGCACTGAAGCTAGGCATCAAAACAGACTGAAACTGGAGGACGGGAGAGAGCACAAGTTACATAGCAGTGCAGGTGTGTAAGCTTTGTGTCAGCTGTTGAAGTGGAAAACTGAACCAGAATAACAACCTATAGAGCACTACTTGGTGAAAATCCACCTGAGTCGAACACTATAGTTTGAATGCTTTGCAGGCGGAGGACCACATGTTGTGGTCATTGATAACAAGGTGATGACTCCCTTATTGATTTATGATTGGCTGTTACTCTGTTTCTCAGGAAATGGTCGACAGACGCTGTTGACGGATGCAAACGGAGGTAAACTCTTCAAATGTTAATGATCTCTATCGATGTGACCTATTCACATTTATAACACACAGACGTGTGTGACACTCTCTATATGGGTATCAATGCATCAATAAATGTCATCAATTAATATTGTTCAGTCTGTTTGATTATCCATGACAATGACAGTGATGTAATCAGATGTTGTGATATGTCAGCAGGTGCAGAGGAGTCGGTGACAGGCCTTCATATCGATCGGACAGGTGAGAGGGGGGGACTCACAAGTAAATTAATTAATAGATTGACAGTAATGATCACAGATCTTTGTTCTGGTTGGTTCCAGCTCCAGGTATTGGATCCAGCCATGATGTCACAGGTAAATGTTGTTGCTATAACAAACACAATTCAATCACAACGTAATGAGTTTAATCACCTCAGCAACATTTCCTATTGACCTGTGAGTCATCATTTCATGTCACATGATCACCTAGAGTCATCACCTTTCATCAGCTTCACGCACATACTGCAGCCAGGTACACCTGTCTGTCTGTCTGTCTGTCTGTCTGTCTGTCTGTCTGTCTGTCTGTCTTTCTGTGTATCTGTCTGTGTGTCTGTCTGTCTGTCTGTCTGTGTATATTTGTATCTGTCTGTGTGTCTGTCTGTCTGTCTGTGTATATTTGTATCTGTCTGTGTGTGTGTCTGTCTGTATATATTTGTATCTGTCTGTCTGTCTGTCTGTCTGCCTGCCTGCCTGTCTGTCTGTCTGTCTGTCCGTCTTTCACCTGTCTGTCTTTTATTTAGTTTCAGGTGTTTACTCCCAAACAGAGCTGGTAACCATGGTAACAGACTCCACAGGGACAGAACCAGGTATGTACCTTTGACATGACTGCCGGAAAGGTGGGAGGCTTCAGGAAAAACAGCAAGTAAAATTGTTTGTGTTTGTAGTTTCAGCAGACCCAGTGGGAACTCCAACCGACTACAGTAAGTTACATTCATTTAAACAGAGAGGAAGAGTTGGTTCTTCTTCTTTGGTTTAACTGTGATCCACTGTCTTCTTTAGGTCATCCAGCTGTGACCGATCACACCCAGACGAGTGGTAAGTTTAACACAACAACAAAACAATAACACAACAAAACTTCAACCCAATAACACAACACAACAACAACAACAACACAACAACAACAACAACAACAACAACAACAACAACAACAACACGACAGCACTAAACAACAGAACAACCAGTCTGAACACGTATAAACTATTTTGGTCAGTGTGGATCAGTTTAGACCAGTTTGGATCAGACCTGGGGTCTGTACTACGAGAGTCCAACTTACCCAGGGTATCTTTGGGTGATCTGGCTTCACTAACCCTAACATCAGAGACCGTGATTAGCAGTCACATGAAACCGCTTATCAACATAAGTTACCCTCGAGTTTCCAAGAGCGAGTTCACATAAAAGGGGCGGAGTTAGCTTCATATAACTATCACAATCATCACTGCGTCTCCCGTCAGCAGATCGTCATATCTAACAAACTATATTAATAATATAAAGAGGTTTAAAACAAACCCAGAGACTAAAGTTACACAGACAAATGCAGGAAGGACAACTGGCAGAAAAAAGAAACATCAGAGAGTATTAATGTCCAAACTACAGATTATTATATTTCTGTCCCATTGTTAGTTCACCTTAGAACTGAAGATAATAACTCCTGCTTTTTCAACCTTCGTAGGATTGAAAACCCAGGGTCAACCCTGAAGTTACCTCGCCAACCCCAAATCCTGCTTCGTAGTACATGCCCCAAGTCAGTTTTGGTCAGTGTGGGTCAGTTGGGGTTACTTTTGGTCAGTTTGGATCAGTTTGGGACAGTCTGATCTGTAATGAACGACAAACTTACTGGTCAAAGATTTGAAAAATACTTAAATACTGCAAGAACCCAATCCAACTAAAATCATGAACTGTCTCTTTAACTAGTCCTGTTTGTTTGGTGTTTTTATGTTTTACCTGAGAACAGGTGCTGAAGTCTGGTTCTTTCTCTTCTCTTGGTTCTGCTTGTTCTCCACAGGTTCAGTCACTGAACGATACCACACACCTGGTCAGGGTCTTGAAGGTTTGTTCGACATTCTTTGGTGTTCCTTATTAACTAATATAATCTGTGACTCTTTTTGAAATTGATGACAGTCTTAATGACGTTCTTTGATGTTTTCAGTGACGTTCTTTGATGTTATTAGTGACGTTCTTTGATGTTATTAGTGACATTCTTTGATGTTATTAGTGACATTCTTTGATGTTATTAGTGACGATCTTGATGTTATTAGTGACGATCTTTGGTGTTATTAGTGACGTTCTTTGGTGTTATTAGTGACGTTCTTTGATGTTATTAGTGACATTCTTTGATGTTATTAGTGACGTTCTAAGATGTTATTAGTGACAATCTTGATGTTATTAGTGACATTCTAAGATGTTATTAGTGACGTTATTTGATGTTATTAGTGACATTCTTTGATGTTATTAGTGATGTTCTAAGATGTTACTAGTGACGATCTTGATGTTATTAGTGACATTCTAAGATGTTATTAGTGACGTTCTTTGATGTTATTAGTGACGTTCTTTGATGTTATTGGTGACGTTCTTTGATGTTATTAGTGACATTCTTTGATGTTATAAGTGACGTTATTTGATGTTATTAGTGACATTCTTTGATGTTATTAGTGACGTTCTAAGATGTTATTAGTGACATTCTTTGATGTTATTAGTGACGTTCTTTGGTGTTATTAGTGATGTTCTTTGATGTTATTAGTGACATTCTTTGATGTTATTAGTGACGTTCTAAGATGTTATTAGTGACAATCTTGATGTTATTAGTGACATTCTAAGATGTTATTAGTGACGTTCTTTGATGTTATTAGTGACATTCTTTGATGTTATAAGTGACGTTCTTTGATGTTATTAGTGACATTCTTTGATGTTATAAGTGACGTTATTTGATGTTATTAGTGATGTTCTAAGATGTTATTAGTTACATTCTTTGATGTTATAAGTGACGTTCTTTGATGTTATTAGTGGTGTTCTAAGATGTTATTAGTGACATTCTTTGATGTTATTAGTGGCGTTCTAAGATGTTATTAGTGACATTCTTTGATGTTATTAGTGACATTCTAAGATGTTATTAGTGACGTTCTTTGATGTTATTAGTGACAATCTTGATGTTATTAGTGACATTCTAAGATGTTATTAGTGATGTTCTTTGATGTTATTAGTGGCGTTCTAAGATGTTATCAGTGACATTCTTTGATGTTATTAGTGATGTTCTTTGATGTTATTAGTGACGTTATTTGATGTTATTAGTGGCGTTTTTGATGTTATTAGTGATGTTCTAAGATGTTATTAGTGACATTCTTTGATGTTATTAGTGGCGTTCTAAGATGTTATTAGTGACGTTCTTTGATGTTATTAGTGACATTCTAAGATGTTATTAGTGACGTTCTTTGATGTTATAAGTGACGTTATTTGATGTTATTAGTGACATTCTTTGATGTTATTAGTGACGTTCTAAGATGTTATTAGTGACATTCTTTGATGTTATTAGTGACGTTCTAAGATGTTATTAGTGACATTCTTTGATGTTATTAGTGACGTTCTTTGGTGTTATTAGTGACGTTCTTTGATGTTATTAGTGACATTCTTTGATGTTATTAGTGACGTTCTAAGATGTTATTAGTGACAATCTTGATGTTATTAGTGACATTCTAAGATGTTATTAGTGACGTTCTTTGATGTTATTAGTGACATTCTTTGATGTTATAAGTGACGTTCTTTGATGTTATTAGTGACATTCTTTGATGTTATAAGTGACGTTCTTTGATGTTATTAGTGATGTTCTAAGATGTTATTAGTGACATTCTTTGATGTTATTAGTGACGTTCTTTGATGTTATTAGTGACGTTCTTTGATGTTATTAGTGACAATCTTGATGTTATTAGTGACATTCTAAGATTTTATTAGTGATGTTCTTTGATGTTATTAGTGGCGTTCTAAGATGTTATCAGTGACATTCTTTGATGTTATTAGTGATGTTCTTTGATGTTATTAGTGACGTTATTTGATGTTATTAGTGATGTTCTTTGATGTTATTAGTGGCGTTCTAAGATGTTATCAGTGACATTCTTTGATGTTATTAGTGATGTTCTTTGATGTTATTAGTGACATTCTTTGATGTTATTAGTGACGTTATTTGATGTTATTAGTGGCGTTTTTGATGTTATTAGTGATGTTCTAAGATGTTATTAGTGACATTCTTTGATGTTATTAGTGGCGTTCTAAGATGTTATTAGTGACGTTCTTTGATGTTATTAGTGACGTTCTTTGATGTTATTAGTGACGTTCTTTGATGTTATTAGTGACAATCTTGATGTTATTAGTGACATTCTAAGATGTTATTAGTGATGTTCTTTGATGTTATTAGTGGCGTTCTAAGATGTTATCAGTGACATTCTTTGATGTTATTAGTGATGTTCTTTGATGTTATTAGTGACATTCTTTGATGTTATTAGTGATGTTCTTTGATGTTATAAGTGACGTTATTTGATGTTATTAGTGGCGTTTTTGGTGTTATTAGTGACATTCTTTGATGTTATAAGTGACGTTCTTTGATGTTATTAGTGGTGTTCTAAGATGTTATTAGTGACATTCTTTGATGTTATTAGTGGCGTTCTAAGATGTTATTAGTGACGTTCTTTGATGTTATTAGTGACATTCTAAGATGTTATTAGTGACGTTCTTTGATGTTATTAGTGACGTTCTTTGATGTTATTAGTGACAATCTTGATGTTATTAGTGACATTCTAAGATGTTATTAGTGATGTTCTAAGATGTTATTAGTGACATTCTTTGATGTTATTAGTGATGTTCTAAGATGTTATTAGTGACATTCTTTGATGTTATTAGTGGCGTTCTAAGATGTTATTAGTGACGTTCTTTGATGTTATTAGTGACATTCTTTGATGTTATTAGTGGCGTTCTAAGATGTTATTAGTGACGTTCTTTGATGTTATTAGTGACATTCTAAGATGTTATTAGTGACATTCTTTGATGTTATTAGTGACGTTCTTTGATGTTATTAGTGACAATCTTGATGTTATTAGTGACATTCTAAGATGTTATTAGTGATGTTCTTTGATGTTATTAGTGGCGTTCTAAGATGTTATCAGTGACATTCTGTGATGTTCTTTGATGTTATTAGTGGCGTTTTTGGTGTTATTAGTGACATTCTTTGATGTTATAAGTGACGTTCTTTGATGTTATTAGTGGTGTTCTAAGATGTTATTAGTGACATTCTTTGATGTTATTAGTGGCATTCTAAGATGTTATTAGTGACGTTCTTTGATGTTATTAGTGACATTCTAAGATGTTATTAGTGACGTTCTTTGATGTTATTAGTGACAATCTTGATGTTATTAGTGACATTCTAAGATGTTATTAGTGATGTTCTTTGATGTTATTAGTGGCGTTCTAAGATGTTATCAGTGACATTCTTTGATGTTATTAGTGATGTTCTTTGATGTTATTAGTGATGTTCTTTGATGTTATTAGTGGCGTTCTAAGATGTTATCAGTGACATTCTTTGATGTTATTAGTGATGTTCTTTGATGTTATTAGTGACATTCTTTGATGTTATTAGTGACGTTCTTTGATGTTATAAGTGACGTTATTTGATGTTATTAGTGGCGTTTTTGATGTTATTAGTGATGTTCTAAGATGTTATTAGTGACATTCTAAGATGTTATTAGTGGCGTTCTAAGATGTTATTAGTGACGTTCTTTGATGTTATTAGTGACATTCTAAGATGTTATTAGTGACGTTCTTTGATGTTATTAGTGACGTTCTCTGATGTTATTAGTGACAATCTTGATGTTATTAGTGACATTCTAAGATGTTATTAGTGATGTTCTTTGATGTTATTAGTGGCGTTCTAAGATGTTATCAGTGACATTCTTTGATGTTATTAGTGATGTTCTTTGATGTTATTAGTGACATTCTTTGATGTTATTAGTGATGTTCTTTGATGTTATAAGTGACGTTATTTGATGTTATTAGTGGCGTTTTTGGTGTTATTAGTGACATTCTTTGATGTTATTGGTGGTGTTCTTTGATGTTATTAGTGATGTTCTTTGATGTTATTAGTGATGTTCTTTGATGTTATTAGTGACGTTCTAAGATGTTATTAGTGATGTTCTTTGATGTTATTAGTGACGTTCTAAGATGTTATTAGTGATGTTCTTTGATGTTATTAGTGACGTTCTTTGATGTTATAAGTGACGTTATTTGATGTTATTAGTGGCGTTTTTGGTGTTATTAGTGACATTCTTTGATGTTATTGGTGGCGTTCTTTGATGTTATTAGTGACGATCTTGATGTTATTAGTGACGTTCTAAGATGTTATTAGTGACGTTCTTTGATGTGATTAGTGACGTTCTTTGATGTTATTAGTGACATTCTTTGATGTTATTAGTGATGTTCTTTGATGTTATAAGTGACGTTATTGATGTTATTAGTGGCGTTTTTGGTGTTATTAGTGACATTCTTTGATGTTATTGGTGGTGTTCTTTGATGTTATTAGTGATGTTCTTTGATGTTATTAGTGATGTTCTTTGATGTTATTAGTGACGTTCTAAGATGTTATTAGTGATGTTCTTTGATGTTATTAGTGACGTTCTAAGATGTTATTAGTGATGTTCTTTGATGTTATTAGTGACGTTCTTTGATGTTATAAGTGACGTTATTTGATGTTATTAGTGGCGTTTTTGGTGTTATTAGTGACATTCTTTGATGTTATTGGTGGCGTTCTTTGATGTTATTAGTGACGATCTTGATGTTATTAGTGACGTTCTAAGATGTTATTAGTGACGTTCTTTGATGTGATTAGTGACGTTCTTTATCATGTTCTTAAATGTTATTACTGACGTTCTTTGTTTTAAAGACTACGTTTTTGTTCCAAAGATACAAGAATGTGAAATCAATGTTTATCTTTTGTACTCGTTTCAGGTGCAGAAAATGTGGAACTGGAGGATACCTGCTGACTTCCATATCAAGCCAAGAGTTCGTTTCCTGCGATACCGATTCCAGTGTACCAACCAATCAGTATGGCCCGGGAAGTCAGACTCCTCCCACTAGTTCTAGGCCCCACCCCCTGATGTTGTTTTTATGTATTTAAGAGTTTTGTTTATTTTTTGTTTTTGTAGAATTGCTGAGATTTTGTTTTAACTTTAAGTAATTCTGTTTTGACTTTATGACATCATACAGGATGTGACATCATCTTCTCTGTCAGGATTGTAAAATGAGAGTTTTAACTTCTACATTAAAATGTTTTTATTTTGAACATCAAACTGAGAATTTGTCTTTTGTTTGATCTGATCAGTTTTAAATAACAAATAATGATGTGCAACTCTTTCTGGATATTAAATTATACAATTATTTAATAATGACAAAAGATTTTAAAGTTATGTCAGTTTTCCTTGACTCCTTGAAAAATACATTTGGTTTATTCCTTCTGTTCATTTTCTTCCTGTTATTCAATGTTGGGTCGTGGTGGCAGCTGGCAAAGTAAGTCAACACAGATGTCCGTCTCCTCAGAAACCTTTCCAGCTCCTCCTGAGGGATCCCGAGGCTCTACTCCGAGCTCCCCCTGAATGTCTAAACTCCTCCGCCCTTTCTCTAACGTTAAGTCCAGACACCCTCCAGATAAAACTCATTTCAGCCGCTTGTGTCCGAGATCTTATTCTTTCGGTCACTACCCAAAGCTCATGACCACAGGTGAGGGTTGGAACGAAGATTGTCTGAGATTTAAAGCATATATTTAATATTCATTCAGATTTAACAGCTGAACAAACTTACCACTGAATCACTTTATAAAAAACACCAGTTTCTCTTATCACAGCTGCTAATTATGTTAGCAGAGATAGAATGTAAACATGATTATGTACAAAGGTAAAGAACTGAAAGCCTCATATTGAAGCCTCAATATTTATTTAAAGGTGACACTGCGCTGAGGGTCCATCAATAACTCCACTCTGTGTCTGTGTGTATTAGCATTTTCATGAAAAAAACTGATAAACAAACTGTTTATTATTGATCGTCTCCATGGTAAAAGGGGTCACTCATTCATAATAAACTTTTCAAAAAATAGTTTTTTCTTTAGATACATTTAACACTTCAAAACAAAGACAACCAATCAGCATGCAGAACACAGAACAGCTGTGTCACATGATCCAATGACATCTTCCACAATGACCTCACTGCTGTTTGTTACAGATGTGACCCCAGATCTTCGAAAACACAAACAGGAAAGCAGAAAAAGAAATATGAGCTAAAATAAAAGAGTAGAAGAAACAAAGACTAGAATAAAAGAGTAGAAGAAGAAGGGATCAATAACTTCTGCATAATATCACCTAACTTTTGATTGATTGTTTGATTGACACCTAATCAATCCCCTTTATCTTAATCTATTGCTGCTGCTGTCCTGTTGCTATTGTAACTGATAAATCCCAAGCCATGTCCCTCCCACTTTTGGCGATGTCAGAGGTCAGAGTCAATGTGGGCGTGGCTAAGAAGGTCAAACGTTGGGTCATCAGTTGGCGGGTCAGAGCTTAAATAAGGCTCCGTCTCCAGCTCCAGCAAGGAGGGCAGATCGGCCCCTCCCTCCCCCAAGCTGATTGGCTCAGTCATCAGGACAGGTGGGGACGTGTACTGCACCAGCTGCTTCCCTGGACCAATCAGAGAGAAGCATAGGTATCTAAATTTATATCAACAGGTATTATGTATGGGTCCTGCATCACCTCAGGGAGGGTCCTCACAGGTATAAATGAGGGTGTTACCTGTGTGGTTGGTGTGGCCTGCATCACTTCCTTTAGGGGCGTCCTCGGACAGCAGCTGACAGGAAGCAGTGACATCACAGAAGGTTATGACATCATAAAGAAACTAACAGGTAGAAACAAAACAAATGTCCTCAAGACCTGTACCATCTGTAATTACACACATTTAATTACACCTGAATTAACCTTTACAGACCTGACAATACCTGCACACACCTGAGTATACCTAACCCATAAAATAGTTAACAGAACAAATGTTTGGGCCGTGAATATCTGAAAGAAGTTTGAAAACAGAATAAAAAATAAAAGTGTAGATGTTGAACTCACAGTGTCCAAACAGTCCAGGTCGAAGTCTCCAGACGGACAGGTAGAACTGAAGAACTAAACACACCACAGGTGATCTCAACAACCACGAATGACTTCATCATCATGTTATATATATACCTAACTCTATCATGAACTAAAGCATCTATATAGTGTTTCTATTAAAACATTTATAAACAGACTGACCTCCATGAGTGGAGACGTGTCGAAGCTGAAGCTTTGAGTGTTCAGGATGCTCTGCAGGTTCTCCAGACTGTTGTCAATACTGTCCACATGTTCTGACAGCTCCGACCTGAGACAGACAGACAGACAGACAGACAGACAGACAGACAGACATCAGTCTAATGTTCATTTCTTTTTGAATCTCATGATCTCACAATGAAACACCATGTGTTAGTGTATCTCTCTCTGTCTCTGCTGCAGGCTGAGCAGCAGTCTGTGTGTGTGTGTGTGTGTGTCTGTCTGTCTATGTGTGTGTGTGAGTGTGTGTGTCTGTGTGTGTGTGTGTGTGTGTGTGTGTGTGTGTGTGTGTCTATGTGTGAGTGTGTGTGTGTGTCTGTCTGTCTGTCTGTGTGTGTCCGTCTGTCTGTGTGTGTGTGTGTGTGTGTGTGTGTCCGTCCGTCCGTCCGTCCGTCTGTCTGTGAGTGTGTCTATGTGTGTGTGTGTGTGTGTACAGGTTAAGTTATGAAGTCAAATTGACAGATTCTTGAAATGATCTATAGAGTTACTGATTCACACCCTGTTGATAGGAAGTGCCAAACATCAGGTGAATGTCCACCTGCAGAAGGAGGGGGGCAGGGCCTGGGGGAAGCACAGGGGTGTTAATAACACACCTGTCGTTCAAAAGATTCACACCTGACAGGAAGACATTCAACAGGACAGCTGAGAGACCTGAACACATCAACACCCACTTCAGAAACGCCTTAAATTACACAATGCATTATGGGTAAATGTTCTCCTGCTTGGTCAGGAAGGGCAGCAGCTATGCAGTAAGGGGTAGTTATATCAGCTGTAGGGCCAGGGTAGGGGCAGTTATGACAGTAAGGGGTAGTTATATCAGCTGTAGGGCCAGGGTAGGGGCAACTATGGTAGTAAGGGGTAGTAATATCAGCTGTAGGGCTGAGGTAGGGGCAGCTATGACAGTAAGGGGTAGTAATATCAGCTGTAGGGCCCAGGTAGGAGCAACTATGGTAGTAAGGGCTAGTTATATCAGCTGTAGGGCCGGGTAGGGGCAGTTAGGGCATTAAGGGGTAGTTAAATCAGCAGGTAGGGCCGGGTAGGGGCATCTATGACAGTAAGGGGTAGTAATATCAGCTGTAAGGCCCGGGTAGGGGCCGTAAGGGGTAGTAATATCAGCTGTAGGGCCGAGGTAGGGGCAGTTATGACAGTAAGGGGTAGTTATATCAGCTGTAGGGCCCAGGTAGGGGCCGTAAGGGGTAGTAATATCAGCTGTAGGGCCGAGGTAGGGGCAGTTATGACAGTAAGGGGTAGTTATATCAGCTGTAGGGCCGAGGTAGGAGCAACTATGGTAGTAAGGGCTAGTTATATCAGCTGTAGGGCCGGGTAGGGGCAGTTAGGGCATTAAGGGGTAGTTAAATCAGCAGGTAGGGCCGGGTAGGGCATCTATGACAGTAAGGGGTAGTTATATCAGCTGTAGGGCCCAGGTAGGGGCCGTAAGGGTAGTAATATCAGCTGTAGGGCCGAGGTAGGGCAGTTATGACAGTAAGGGGTAGTAATATCAGCTGTAGGGCCGAGGTAGGGGCAGTTATGACAGTAAGGGGTAGTTATATCAGCTGTAGGGCCGAGGTAGGGCAGTTATGACAGTAAGGGGTAGTTATATCAGCTGTAGGGCCGAGGTAGGGGCAGTTAGGGCATTAAGGGTAGTTATATCAGCAGGTAGGGCCGGGTAGGGGCATCTATGACAGTAAGGGGTAGTAATATCAGCTGTAGGGCCGGGTAGGGGCAGCACCATGCAGCTTATAGCTGTACGGGGCAGATATAACTGTAGTGGGAAGTTAACGGTGGTAAATGCACCAGCATTTCAACAGATGTATAGAAGACTTACCTGTCGATACAGGCGATGGTCTGACATTCTTGTTGAGCTTTAGTGTTGCGAGGTGTGGAGTCTGAGCTTCGGGTGGAAGAAGGTGATTGGCTGCCTGATGTTGGTGGGACTGGCCCAGTGGAGACAGGGCTCAGCAGAATAACGGGGCTGACTAAAAGCGCAGAGAGAAGAGAATTAAGAGAGTCAGACAAAAACTGGATCAAGCAGAACCAATGAACCAATCACTGCTCACAACTTTACCAACCAGGGGTCACCAGCAGGTCAACGCCTGTTAAGCTAAGACAGTCTTTTCTGGGTGTACAAGCCGACTGTTATGACCATGTACCACTAGGGCTTACGCCTTCTTCCTGCTAAAACCAGTGGAAGGAGCTGTAGCTTTGTGGGGAGGAAGCTGTTAGCTGTAGTGGGGAGGAGCTGTTAGCTGTTGTGGGAGGAGCTGTTAGCGTAGTGGGAGGAGCTAGTTAGCTGTAGTGGGGGAGAGCTGTTAACTGTAGTGGGGGAGGAGCTGTTAGCTGTTGTGGGGAGGAGCTTAGCTGTAGTGGGGAGGAGCTGTTACCTGTAGTGGGGAGGAGCTGTTAGCTGTAGTGGGGGAGAGCTGTTAGCTGTTGGGGAGGAGCTGTTAGCTGTAGGGGGAGGAGCTGTTAGCTGTAGTGGGAGAGCTGTTAGCTGTTTGGGGAGCAGCTGTTAAGCTGTGTGGGGAGCAGCTGTTAACTGTAGTGGGGAGAGCTGTAGTGGGGAGGAGCTCGTTTACTGTAGTGGGGAGAGCTTACCTGTAGTGGGGAGAGCTGTTAGCTGTAGTGGGGAGGAGCTGTTAGCTGTAGTGGGGAGAGCTGTTACCTGTAGTGGAAGCTTAGCTGTTGTGGAGGAGCTGTTACTGTTGTGGGGGAGGAGCTGTTAGCTGTAGTGGGGAGGAGCTGTTAGCTGTAGTGGGGAGAGGAGCTAATAGCTGTAGTGGGGAGGAGCTGTTAGCTATAGTGGGGGAGGAGCTAATAGCTGTAGTGGGGAGGAGCTAATAGCTATAGTGGGGGAGCTGTAACTGTAGGGAGCAGCTGTAACTGTAGTGGGGAGGAGCTGTTAGCTGTAGTGGGGGAGGAGCTTTAGCTGTTGTGGGGGAGGAGCT